AATCACACTTTCTGAGAAAAGGTCTCAACTACAGTTCCTAACAGGTGTACAAATAAATTAGAACTGATAAAAATATATAATGCATTAAACAGTGTTGGTTCTATCTATTCACATGGTGATCAATGATGTTTTCTCATCACACACCCCCTCTGTTTCTTGTTCTTCTTTCTGTAAGAATGGATTTAATCATCATGTTTATATCCAGCATTGATTGAATGATAAACTAAACAAAAAGTTTAGAGGCTTACTTGAACAACTTCATCAAGTAAATTTACATCCAAAACCCCCGGGATAAAGCCAGCACCAATTCCTTGAATCTTGTGTGGACCTTCAATATTTAAAAGCAAGCAGTTCATCAGGTCAGCACAAGATAAGATAAAAAGATGTTTTTCCCATAGTATGGGCATAATATAAGTAGCAATCTCAACACATGATATTAGAGCCCATTGAAAGTCCTAACACAATGGCTGCTGAATACAAATATCATAGAGTTTTTCAGAGAAAATTCAAATTTGATGTCAATTGAACATAATTGAGAGCCAGAAGTAAATCAGAATTGAAGACTTTAGAAAAAGTTTTAATGGGTATTTACTTTTACATCAAAAGTCTAATGGTGCATGTGAACCAGCAATATTTCTGGGATGTAGACAAGAAAAATTAACAGAGAATAAATGCCAGAACTAATTTATATCAAATATGGAAAGCAAAACTCATTTATATCAAATATGAGAAATCAGGGAGCCAACCAGAAGAAAGTCTTAATGATGCAAGCTCCAGAAACAAAGAAACATTAATATCTATTGGTTTAGAATGAAAATGAAAGAATAGAATGGCAACAACAAGGGATATAGCTTTTGAAGAAGAAGAAGAATGCAAACCAAACATATTCAGTGTTATGGCTTACCAGGTTTTCCACCAGATAATATGGCACTTTCCAATGGTTCTACACCATAGAGCTAAAGATAAAAATAAAAGGAAAATACCAGCAACATGAGAACAAAAGCACTGATGCAAGTAATTGATATATTCAAATAATAAAATTTTTTCTTTCTAACCATACGAAAAAAGGCCAACCTTAACGTCAGGATTCTGCTCTCTGAGATATTTTCCTGCACCTGTTACAGTACCCCCTGTCCCTATACCAGAAACAAATGCATCTACCTTCCCACCTGTACCTTTCCATATCTGAGGTCCAGTAGTCTCATAATGGACCTACAAAAGCAAAATAAATAAATAAATATGCAATGGCTCCAACAACCCAACATGAAAGAAAGTTTAATCCAAACAATACCTTTGGATTGGCTGGGTTCTCAAATTGCTGAAGGATATAGGCATTAGGTGTCTTGGCAAGAATTTCCTCTGCCTTCTGAACTGCCCCTTTCATGCCACGGGCTGGATCTGTAAGAACCAGCTCAGCTCCAAAGGCTCGGAGAACCATTCTCCTTTCCAAACTCATTGAAGCAGGCATGGTGATTATAAGTTTGTAACCTTTAGCAGCAGCCATAAACGCCAGTCCAATTCCAGTATTTCCACTGGTTGGTTCAATCAGGACACTCTTCAGCATGTAGGGAACAAAATTTTTTCAAGTTAAAACCTTCTTTCTCTCATTTTGTTACCCAAAACTAAGATAATAGTTGATACCATTAATAAGAAACATGCTCATGCTTCGCTAGTGAAGTACAGTTAACTTAAGATGAATCCCATTCCATAAATGTCTAGTGAGAAGTATTCAAATACTAACCTCACCCGGTGTAATCAGACCCTTCTCCTCTGCATCTGCAATCATACTGTACCCTATCCTGCAAGCACAATGAATTTGCTTGTAAAAGTTAGTTTTTAAGAAAATAATAAGAAATAGAAACCACAATTAGAACCTCATTGGGCCCTGATTTCCAACATCCTCATATCATTTGGTTTTTAAGATTAATTAATGACAATTTCATGAAAAGCAAAATCAAGATAATAAATCAAAATTTATGGATCCAATAAATAATAAATCCCTGTTCCACGTAAGCTAGATAGCAAAACCGTACCCTTGCTATGGAATACATATCATTATAAAATATCCAATTTCTTAACTAGCTCTTGTAAGGCAAAAAACGGAAAATATAAGTAAAACTAATACCTGTCTTTGACGCTGGAGCAGGGTTCCATCATCTCTAATTTGGCAGCAATTCGAGCAACGCAGCCATCTACCATATGGTTCAGATATACCAATGGTGTTTTACCTATCAACTGCCCAAGTGGTCAAACCCAATTAGATTGTCTCAGGTTAGCAACAGTTTGCTTTGGCAAAACCCCAATAGATTATTATAGTATCATAGCAAAGATAAAGAAGACAACATACTTCAGTAACATCTTTTGCAATCACACCGTTGTCCTCCATGTTCTTATCAAATTACTGCGAAAGCAATCCAAGAACAGAGTGATCAGTAAACTAAATTGAAAAAATTCTGCTTATCTACAAATCAAACTGACTAAACATCTCTACTAACTGCTCAAAAAATAATTTTCAGGAAAGTCCACAGAACTGATCAAAACCCATCAAGCACCACACATAAAAACGTTAAAAACAGTCACTGTATATAAAACCCAATACCCAAACACAACTGAAGCTGAAAGATTTGAATAACCAACCCTGAAAATTTTCCAAATGCAGTGTTTTTAGGACACCCTTTGTAACGAAAAGGCTGAATAAGGAAAGAGAGAGAGCAGTCTATGCCTTATATAAACAAGAAACGCATACCTTATGGAAGCAAGAAACACAACAACGGGCAAAAGAGGGGAAAGAGATAGAAGCTGAAATTCAGAGACAACTCTTTGGACTTTTATGTTTGTTTATTCAATAAATAAAAAACTTCAAATTGCATTCTTGGCCGGCATTGAAAAATCAAGTAATCGTTTTGAATATATGAAAAGATTTATTACTGTAATTGTCTGATCGAGAAAGACGGGCGTTTGGTACAAAGTCAATGAGAAAAGTATGTAAAGATGTGAACTTTTGTCGTTGATTGGATTTAGTGTTTTTTGCGTCATGATTGTGTCTTGCTTTTTTCGTTGTGAAAGTTTTTCCATTCTTTTCTCCTGGCTGCTCTGGTGATGGGTCGGTGTCCTAGGACCAGGAATGGCTAATTGGCAATGGGTTCAGTGGGGTGGGGGAATGCCCTCCGTACACGTCCGAGGTTTTGGGTTATATTTAATACATAGTTTAGTAATTATCAACTGAATTTTATTTTAATTTAAAAACTTAATTTCCTTTTTAAATGGTCTAGAAACTATTTTTGTACCATTTTAGCCTATGTATCTAACCTCTATTACTTTTTAGTTAATGGAAGTTCATGTCATAAGATATGTGAAACCAAACTGGCATCATTTTCCGCCACATGTTGCCAGTTTGGTTTCAATATAATTTTTCCTTTTATTTTTAAGGAAAAATACTATTGGGATAATTATTTTATCTTATTTTTTTATATAACTTGACATGTTATTAAATTAATTTATTCTTTTAATTCATGCATAACTTATAATATTAAATATATCTATTTATTAAATTACATATAAAAATTATATAAAAAAATAAAATAAAAAAATTATTTCTATAAC